TTTGATACATCTCAAAAGTCTTTTGGCCATCTCCCATCCTTTATTGAACATGCCTTGCATAAATCTGATGAGTGTATTGTAGCTCACCTAAATTCAGTGTAACTCTTTCATCATTGAATTCTTTATTCTCATCGGTTTTATGGAAACTAAAATGCAACTGAAAACATGTGAATACATTTAAGTAATATATTAACATCTTGAATCTTGACTGTAATGTGAATGATAAGACTTCGGTAGAGCATCGCCAGTGGGGGGTGTAAAGCCAAGTGTATGCTAAATATACACACTTTGTTGCCAGAATCACCTGCAATGGGTAGGTGTAAATGGTTGTAAAAATGCATCACAGCTGTGGAGATGCAAAATTAGATGCACATGTGCATCCTTTTCTACATCATTTGTAGGCGGGACCCACATGAGAAAAAGGGAGAGAGAGAGTTGGAATCACTCTTTAGATGCTATACAAAATGATGTAGAGGGTCCCGCTTGACGTCAGCACACCAAGTGGTGCGCTGCAATCCCCAACAGCTCTACGATGAATGGCTGAGATGAATTGGAATTCAAAATGGAAGGCCCATATTTCATGCAATTTGCATTGCACTTCCAATGGTCATAAATATTAGAAAAAAATACCTAAAAATGTTTAAAATAAATTATAAATTTCTACACATATTTTTATGTTAGTTTGTAGGTAAAATCATATGTTCTCCAAATTTAAATTTTTTTAGGTCCATTTATTTGTAAAAATAAAATAAATCTAACTCACACAAAATTAATTTTAAAAAGTTAAAACACAAAAAAAAAAACAAAAAAACACACACACACACATACACACAAAAATGAATTATCACAATCAAATCGAATATACATCTTTTTCAATTGGAGCAAAAAACGCATTTACACCCCCTAGAGGTGTAAAAGTGGCTTTACACACCCGAAAATACACCCTCCCACTGGTGATGCTCTTATAGAACATGTTCCATGCTTTGCTTGCTAAGGGACTTGTAGCTTATGAATATTTTGTATAAAAATCACAAGGAAAGGCATTATTGACCACAAGGAAAGGCACTAGGTATATTACGGGCCGAATTGATGAAGGCAGTGTAATCACCTTCTTACATTCAAGTTTGAATCCATTCCTCGTGTATTTAGAGCAGATGGCGCAGTTCAAAACCCAAGATGGTGCCAAAGTTTTGGCAATAATGTTCAGTATTATAAGTCTAAACAAACAGACAATCTATTTTAAAAAAAATATATCATGTCATCGTGATCAAGAACATTGTCTGAAGTTTTGTGCAATTCCACATGTCCTCATTTACCCCTTGGAACATTTGCCGGCCCAATAGCTTAGATGGTCCTATAAATCACAACTTATAAATTCAAATCATAACATCAAACGTAGCAGACTAGAGCCACAGAAATAATCCTTGGATTGGATTGGCCAGGTTGCTCGGATTTGGAAATGGGGAACACCAAGGTTTGTGTTACAGGAAGCTCAAGCTACCTTGGCTCTTCTCTTGTCAAAAGGCTCTTAGAGAAAGGATACACTGTCCATGCAACACTCAGAAATCTGGGTTCTGTTAATTATGTAGTCAATTAATGTGTTAATTATGTAGTCAATTAATGTGTTGATTATGTAGTCAATTAATGTTTGGCACCTACTATGTTTGGCACCTACAATATTTGGGGGGCTTGACTAGGTTGGTTGCCTAACTAGGTTGGTTGCCTAACTTGGTTGGTTGCCTAACTTGGGGGGCTTAGGAACTTGTATATATATGTGTTGATTGTAAGTAATGTAAGACATAAGAAAGAATTCTAAAACCAGAAAATTATCTTCTCTCATTCTCACATTCTCATATTCTAGCTTATCTCTACACAAATCTCTACACTTTGTTTGGCATGGTATCAGAGCAATCGATTTTGGTTGCCTCTGCATAACCTTGTTTTACCTTGCTCTTACCTTGTTCTTGCCTTACCTTGCCTCTACTTAATCTTGCCCTTACTTCTTTGCTCCTATATTGTTCCAACACAAAATTTGTGTTGAGTTCCCTTTGTTGTTTTATCCTTCCGCTGCATATACTTATCCCTACGTAATTTTGTTTTTCCCTTATCCTTGCCATTGCTTTGCCTTTGCTTAAATCTTGTCCTTGCCTTGCTGTGCCTATGCATAACCTTATCTTCCATAACCTTGTCCCTACATAATTCAAACTCGTGTCCCTTTGGTTACTTTGTTCTGTTGTACCCCTATTGTGTTCTTTAAATCTTCCGCTACATTTACGTATCCATACTTTCACACAAGACCCGCAACATGGCACCCAAGGCTGCTTATGTCATGACTACCGGTGAGTCTCCATCTCCTGCCTTACTCTCCGACTCCAACCCCGACTCAGGTACACGCTCTACTACATGGATAATTGATACTGGTGCCACTGATCATATGACTTTTGACTCTAACCTTTTTTCTAAACTGTCTACTCAGTCCCGCCATCCTTACATTACTAGTGCCAATGGGGTCCCTTCTAATGTTGCTGGAGAAGGGACCATATCACTTTCCCCTTCTCTAGTTTTACCCCATACACTCTTAGTTCCGTCTATTAATTGCAATTTATTATCAGTTGGAAAATTACTTGATTCACATAATTGTTATGCCACCTTTTATCCTTCTCATTGTACATTTCAGGATCTTTTGACTCACGAGACGATTGGGCATGGTAAACGGAGAGGGGGGTTGTATACCTTGACGGTCTCATCACCACCACGAGCTGTCCATGTTCAAAACTCACGTGCTCAACAACAGATTTGGCTATGGCATCGTCGCTTAGGACATCCATCATTTGGCTACCTTCGACGACTGTTTCCATCTTTATTCCGAGGTTTAGTTGATTCTCAGTTTCAGTGTGAAACCTGTGTGTTGGCCAAGAGCCATCGCACTGTATTTCCATCAAGTGATAGTAAAACAGAATTTCCTTTTGAGTTGATTCACTCCGATGTTTGGGGCCCTGCTAAAGTCTCTTCTACTGGCAAGAGGTGGTTTGTTACATTTATAGATGACTGCACCCGCATGACATGGGTGTACTTGCTCACCCATAAAAGTGATGTTACTACCACAATCCGTGAATTCCATGCTATGATCACCACTCAGTTCCAAGCATCCATCAAAGTGTTCCGGTCCGACAATGGTGGGGAGTATGTAAATGGTGCCTTGGCTCAATTCTTCAAGGACCAAGGCATCATCCATCAAACCTCCACACCCTTCACTCCACAACAAAATGGTGTCGCCGAACGGAAGAATCGCCAATTACTTGAAGTTGCCCGTGCCTACATGCTTGATAAATCTGTTCCTCACCACTTATGGGGTCATGCTCTTCTCTCTGCAGTCTATGTGATTAATCGGGTACCTAGTAGCGTTTTGAATTTCCAAACTCCACTAGATACCTTGGCTCATCACATCTCTCTTCCTACCATCCTCAAGTTGCCTCCTCGTGTGTTCGGTTGTGTTGTTTATGCTCATGTTCCTTCTCATCAACGGAGTAAGCTGGATCCATGTGCCCTCCGATGTGTGTTCGTTGGATATGGCTTGAATCAAAAAGGATACAAGTGTTACCATCCTCCTACTCAAAAACTCTTTGTCACTATGGATACCACTTTTCATGAAGATTTGGCTTACTTTATGGTTTTCAAGACCCCTTCTCTTTAGGGGGAGAGGGGGAGTGAAGAGAAGGACTTGTCATTTGAAGAGAAGATCGAAACAAATGCTAAAAAAAACGTTGAAGATTCTCACGAAGTGCCCCAGGCGACCGGTCGTGACCCATTGACAACCAGTCACGAAGTACCCCATGCAACCGGTCGTGAAGAATCTAGTGACCGGTCGTTTTTTCATAGAGTTGAAAATATAAGCTCCTTGGAAGTGAATTTGAGATGAAGGAACTGGGTGAGTTACAATACTTTCTTGGCATTGTGGTTGCTAGATCTAAACATGGCATATTTCTATCCCAAAGAAAGTATGTGTTAGATTTGTTGACAGAAACAGGAATGCTGGATTGCAAGCCAGCTGACACACCTATTGAACAGAATCACAAATTGGGAATGTATCCAGATCAAGCTCCTAGTGATAAAGAAAGGTATCAAAGGTTAGTTGGGCGATTGATTTATCTATCCCACACACGCCCTGACATAGCTTATGCTGTGAGTATGGTAAGCCAATTCATGCATCAACCAAGTGAAGCTCACATGAATGGAGTAATACGGATAATGCGATACTTGAAGACTGCCCCTGGAAAAGGATTGATGTTCTCCAAACATACACACATGGATCTTGAAGGATACACTGATGCTGATTGGGCAGGGTGTATCACGGATAGACGTTCAACTTCTGGATATTTTACATTTGTGGGTGGTAACTTAGTTACTTGGAGGAGTAAGAAACAAAGAGTTGTAGCAAGATCCAGTGCTGAAGCCGAGTTTAGAGGAATGGCTCAAGGAGTATGTGAATTGCTTTGGTTGCGGAGATTACTAAAGAATCTTGGCATTAAACAAGTGAATGCCACAAACCTATATTGTGACAATAAAGCTGCCATCGAGATAGCACATAATCCAGTACAACACGACCGTACTAAACATGTGGAAGTCGATCGACACTTCATCAAAGAAAAATTGGAAAAAAAGATGATTAAGTTTCCGTTCGTAAACTCAGAAAATCAACTGGCTGATATTCTGACAAAGGCAGTATCAAGTAGAGTTTTCAATGAGTCTATTGACAAGTTGGGCATGCGTGACATCTTTGCACCAACTTGAGGGGGAGTGTTAATTATGTAGTCAATTAATGTGTTAATTATGTAGTCAATTAATGTGTTGATTATGTAGTCAATTAATGTTTGGCACCTACTATGTTTGGCACCTACAATATTTGGGGGGCTTGACTAGGTTGGTTGCCTAACTAGGTTGGTTGCCTAACTTGGTTGGTTGCCTAACTTGGGGGGCTTAGGAACTTGTATATATATGTGTTGATTGTAAGTAATGTAAGACATAAGAAAGAATTCTAAAACCAGAAAATTATCTTCTCTCATTCTCACATTCTCATATTCTAGCTTATCTCTACACAAATCTCTACACTTTGTTTGGCAGGTTCTCCTCTCTCTCTCTCTCTCTCTCTCTCTCCCCCCTTCTGCCTTTGCTTCTCTCTAACTTCCATATATTTATGGTGAATATATTTGTGCTGTGCAGGTGATCCATTTAAAATGGGGCTTCTCAAGGGTCTTCCAAATGCACAGGAGAGATTAAGATTGTTTGAAGCAGACATATATAATCCTTATGAGTTTGAGCCAGCAATCCAAGGCTGCAAATATATCTTCCATTTGGCTACCCCCTTGCAGCATGAGCCCAAGGACACTCAGGTTTGCTTGTTCTTTAACTAGAAACTCTGAAAAGGGTTGAAAGAATTGTTAATTTCTTATGCTTCTGCCATCTGATTCAGAAAGTACTAGTGTTAAGATTGAGATTGCATCAATGCTGACCACATACACTCACCTTAAAATAGTGTACCAGCAGCCGTTTGATTGAATCCAACGGCTGCAAACTATTGCAATGCAGACTTAAAAGAGTTCCCTAATGCCACAGTTTGTTTTGTTTGCTATTGAAATAGTTCAAAAACACTTCCGAGGCTGCAGTTTCTGGGCTTAACAGCATAGTGAGGTCTTGCATCAAATCAGGCACCGTAAAACGACTCATTTACACAGCCTCTGTGGCTGCTGCATCACCAATCAAAGACTCTGGAATTGGCTTCCAAAAATATATGGACGAGTCCTGCTGGACTCCTCTCAATCTCTTATATCCTCTTGCCAATCAAACATTGATGGTAAGCATCAAAGTTATTAAAGTTACGAAACTTTAATGGTTAAATTGAGTTGCGTTATATTGCTAGCCGTATATGTATGTGGGCGTGGGAAGAAATCTCAGCCATTGATGAGTGTGAGATTCACTGTATTGCGTCATGCGCCCACGTACGACTGACACTAGCATATCCATGTATTATAGGATTATACACACTCAAAGACCCTTTCTGAGAAAGAAGTGCTGAGGCACATTAGCAGTGAGCTTGAAGTAGTCAGCATTGCCTGTGGCCTTGTGGGAGGGGACACCCTTCTCTCTGTTATGCCTGAAAGCATGGGGGTGCTCATTTCGCAAATTGCAAGCGATAAAAGGAGGTACCAAACTCTGAGATTCTTGGAGGACTTGTTGGGTAAAGTTCCAATTGTGCACATTGAAGATGTTTGTGAGGCACACATACTATGCATAGAGAAGTCCTGCATCAGTGGCAGATTTCTATGTGCCAGTGCATATTTGTCATCTGCAGAAATAGCATCTCACTGGAAAACATATTACCCAGATATCAGAATAGCTGAAGAGTAAGTTATTAATTTACCATACATACAATTATTGGGAAGGTTTACAAGATTTTGGCCTCTATGGTTAAACCCTAACAGAGGATTTTGTTCATGTTTTGTTTCAGGTTTGTGGAAGATTTAGGGAGAGAAATTGTTTGGGGTTCCACAGAGCTAGAGAAAATCGGATTCGAGTACAAATTTGATGCCAAGGTGATATTGGATGAGACTCTAAAGTGGGCACAGAAGATGGGCGAGTTTGGTTCCAGCCAAGAAATTATTGTATCCAAGTAATGACCATGCCAAACAAAGTGCTTGCCTTTGATAAGTCTCTTGTGCCAGTTAAAAAGATGAAGATTTTAATCTTATTATCTCAAGGAACACCAGCAGCACCACTGATTTCAGAATATTGAAAATCTAGAACAGTTTAATTCGATCAGGAATGGAATTTAATTTCTTACAATCATCAGAACTAATCCTCTTGGACCAAAGAATTTACAAATCAATGGGACTGGAAGTGAGGAAAACATAAACTAAAGACACACATAGAAACAGTAACTAGCACACTACATCTAGAATTTAAATACCTAGGCAGAGGAAAACTCTCTCTTCACAAGCATCATTTCCTTCTCTCTGCTTTTCTCTCTCTCTCTCTCTCTCTCTCTCTCTAAAGGGTAAGGGAAAGTTATGACTCGTAAGCAAGACTTTCTGTGTTTTCAAAATGGTGAAAATCCAAATCATCAAGTGAGAAACCAAAATCCCCAATTGGTGAGTTGGTCACTGAAGTTGGGGCTGAGATGATCTCACTGAGACCAGATTCTGAAGTCTGCACATAATCATGGCCAAGTCCGAAACTGCTCATTTGGCATGGTGACACTGCCTGCAAGTAGTCTGGTTCAAATGTTGCTGCTGGAGATGCAAATGTGGGAGAATAGCCATCCATCAAATCATTCTCCATCAAAGTTGCACAGAAAATATGGTCTCCCACATTATCAGGTTCAATTGGTGTAGAAGGGAAGGAAAATGATGGAAATATATCATCTTCCCTTGTGTCCAAATCCTCAGTTTTAACTCTAAGCCCTGCCCCAAAACTGAAAGACATCTCTTGTGATGCTTTCGGTTTTTCTGCTTCTCGGGTTGCATTTTGATTTCCTGTTGAAGCTTGTTTAGCTAGGGATAATGCTGATGACCTGGCTAACTGAAGGACTTGGCTACAAGTATGTTCTCCTCTGTAGGTTACCACTATGGTTGATGGGTCTGCATCTGCCTTTTGAACTTGCTTGGTGGCTAAACAACCCTGCGTGCCACGATGTGTGCATCTGTAGTAGCCCCTGCAATACAAAGAAAACAAAAACCTGTTATTTGAGAAACGTGGGGACATGAACATGATTCATATGAATATCTCTGCAATTTAGACCAAATTCATCAACAGTGAAACGTTACATGACATTTTCTTCACTAAATATCAACACAAGATGCCAATAGGGACCCGTTTTGGGAGTTGGACCAGTTGCCAGGACATGGCGTTTTTAATGCTAAAAGGTGATGTCCAGGCTGAAGAATTGTCAATCCTGGAGGCCAAACAAAAAAACACGAACAACTAGATAGAGTGAATTGATTTAAAGACTGCTAGCTTATGGAGCTACATACAGTCACCTTTAGATAAGCTCAAGTACTTTTTGTCTTCATTGTGCCAGTTGTGAAAGAAGAAGAAAAAAAAAAGTTAAAAAAAGCCTCCCCATCCTAGCAATAATAAGAACTCTAATTATTCATGTGCTGCATATATTTGATTTTAGGACATCAGCTGATGTCTGACCAATGATTAATCAGGCTCATGTGATAAATAGATAGAGGTATTTTTCACTATGAGCAAAATAGAGACTTCACTGGTGGAGCATCCAATCCAACCACTGATCATGTTTTTGTGTTATTTTATTTTTATTAATTATGTAAATTGCACATGTAATGGTTCAAACTTTAAAGACTAAAAGTTCTCACCTTGGATAGGTAGCTCCAAGGATATCCTTTTGGCCATATTTTCTCCAACTGTAGCCATCATCAAGACTCCCATCTACCCCTGTTGCAGAGTAAACCTTCACTTCTTCAGTCCACCTGGGCATTGTTTTCCTGCAACACAGAAATCCCAACAGTCAAAATCAGATCAATTTCAACCATAATTAGGCTAATCCAAAATTGCCCTAATTAATAAAATTAAAATCCAAGTTAAAAAATACCTTTTCTTGAAGACATTTTTGTTCTTGCAATCTTGGTCAGAGATCTCACTCATTGGGCTAGGTGATTCCAACATGATGTTGGGGATGTGGTTATACTCTCCATCAGAACCAACATCCCTTTTGAGCAGTGAGAGTGCCCTTTCATAGGAAAATAGTATTTTTGAAATCAGAACGTCTCTTTTTTCTTGGGATGCAGAAGGGTGAAGATGGTTCATAAGCTGCTTTGCCAGCTCCTTCCCTTGGGTTAGCTCACTGGTTAGAGTCTTTTGCTCCCACTCCATGCTCTTCCTCTTCTCCATTTAGAAATGTGAACCAGAAAATGGTTCAAGTACTATATACTTGAACAAGTGCAAGTATTGAGCAGATGGATTAAAATTGAGGTAGAATTTAGATCATATCAAGGCAAAGTTTCACACTTTGAATGTTAGGAGCAAGGAAAATAACCAATCAGAAGCCACAAACATAGAACTAGCTAGCTGAAAGAAGTAAAATTGGCTGAATGTGAGAGTGGTTTTGATCAGAAACACCAAAGCTCCAATTGAAGATTGATGGGTAGTTTGCTTAAGTAGTAAGAGAGAGAGAGATAGAGAGAGAGAGAGAGAGAGAGAGAGAGAGTTATAAATTAACGAAGAAAGTAGAGGGTGAAGCTATAGGTAGCTATGTTATGCAGAGAAGGGAAATGTGTCTTGATTTCTTAATGAAAGTGTGAGGAAGAGTCGCGAGGAAGAAGGGGATGGATATAAGGGGCTGGGAAAAGGGATGGAAAAGAGAGAGAGAGAGATGTAAAGAGAAAAGTCCATTGCTGACCAATTCAACCCCAACAACAATTCACTATACTCACAAAAACCATTTCTCTTTCTGTCTCTCTCTAAAGTAGTAGTGACCAGTGAGCGACTACGCGGAAGGAGGAAACGAAGATTCTTAGTCTCATCCTCTGGCCTTAATTAATCTCTGACTTTCCAATAACTTTTTTCTTACGAAAATGAAAAAACGAAACGTGAAAAGTAAATTTTTTTATTTTAGCAAGTTATCGATGTACACTACGTAGAAAATCAATAATATCTATAATGGAAAAAATATTTATTTATATCATATCAAAATAATAATAATTGATAACATTAGCATTATGATAACATACAGACTTAGGTGCAAAAGAACTGACTAACTGACTTAATTCACGTTTGTTATGTAATTTTGTTACCTATAATAATAACGGTTGACAGTTTTATTTATTTATTTAATAAATAGAACAAAATAAGGAGAGAAAGAGAGAGTGGTATCTGACGTAGGGTAGTGGCGTAATGTGAAGCTTAGCTTACGTCGATGTTGATAGATAATGGAGTAAAGGGCAGGCCACGTAGGCACGAAAACGAGCGCACACAAATATGAGCTGCCCACTTGAACACTACTTTATGTATTATTCCATCTACTAAATATATTCGACTCATCATCAAACGATCCAATTAAAATATTACTTGCGATTGGAACATATTCTTAATCTATGTTTATATCATTATCATATGTTCTTGATTTTGGAGTTCTCTAGCTAACTCCTGTGTTCACACCTTATATCTTTTTCCTATTTTGTGTTCACACCTTGGATTTCGAAACTTCTTATCTACAACAAATGTATTTATCATCGCTTTGAAACAAAATCTTGTGACTAATACATGAGAAATTGTTGCGAGCTAAACGTCGTTTTACTTTCTCTTTTAAGTAAACCGGTCGTGTTGAAATTCAATCACGAAGAAACTAACTAAAAATTAATACAAGTCGAGAAATATTACAAAATTCTTTAAACACAAAACGACCCACAAAATTTGAGGTCCAAATTCCTTTAGCTTTTCCGTAAAAGGATAAATTATGACATGTTTGGGAGTGCTTCTGCTTATAAGTGCTTTTGGATCACCAAAGTGTTTTTCAGAGAAGCACCTAATACATGCTTCTTCAGAAAGCACTTTGAATTTTTAATGAATTTTTTGACGTTCTTCTAAAAAAGCGCTTATGTATAGAAGTGATTAATTCTAACAAAAATATTCTCAAACGAGCCCTTATTGTCTCTAACTTAACCACCTAAGTTCATCAAAGTTGACAGTTACGGAGCCACTCCTAGGCCTAGAGTGGCCCTGACCCCCCAAATTTTGATATTTCCTCTATTATATTATATATAACATACAAAATTTGTAATAAACAAGTTATAAGTTAAGTTAACATTCCCTCTAAAACAAATTAGACATGATTAAATTAGAAATATTTAGCTCTAAACATGTAACTATTGAATACTTAAGTGCTTTATATACTTGTATTTCCTACTTCGGCCCCTTAACTCTATAATTCTAACTTCGCCCCTAAAAGTTGACAAGACCCATAGACTCATATGAATAAATCTCGATACAATTTAGAGACAATTAGCACAACTCTTCACAAGAAGTTGTAAAAACGTTGTATTTTGGTCCTATATGCATGATTTTTCTGATTTCTTTTCAAAATTGTTATCTCACCTTTTTGTTACCAATCACCACGTCAAAGAACTTTTCTTAGGTCAGTAGAAGATTGAATGTGCACAACTTCTATATATGGGTCAGAGCATGAGTACATAACTTTGTAATACTTTGAAAAATGGTAATCCGTCCAAAGAGGTTCAGCAAAGTGAATGGCCCACATATCACTTCTTCTTCTTCTTTTTTCTATTTAAACAGTAAAAATGAAAGAATGCCATTTCCTATAAATTATGAGTTTCGGCCTTTTCACTATTTTTTATTTATTTATTTATTTATCTATCTGCTAGATTGCTAGCATTCTTCCAAAATTTGTACACTTTTATTCCTTTTAGATATCTTCACATGCTAAAACCTCTTTTGTCAGGGGATAAAAAGTTTTTTGGTTTTTATGTTTGTAGGCCTCCTGCATTGCTCAAATCAGATATGCCTTTTTCTTTTTAGGGAAATTCAGATTTTAATTTGATAGGCTTGTGAAAGTTGGTAAATTGTAAATGTCTCCCTCTAGCCCAACATGTGCCTTTTTCTCCTTTTTTATTCTCAATTATTTGCATATTAATACTCATATATATCCACTAGTAAAAAGAAAAAGAAAAAACTTTTAAGTATATTTTTAATCAAAAAGTTTTTTTTGGGTAAAAAAAAGTTTATGAAGAGATTGACTACTCTCACCACCAGCGCCAAGGTAGACTCACAACCTCGAGCCAGAAGGACTTACCTGTAGCACACAACTACTTGCTGCTACCGATATGAATTTATGTAGATAATTACAAATTGCGCATCAATGAGGACTGATGGCAGAGAGAATTGAACACTGATGAGACTACACACAGTGCAAGGACCTTATCAATTGGACCAACTCACATTAGCAATCAAAAAGCATTTTAAGTATAGGTTTAAAAACATATAAGCAACCTTTGGTAGATGCAGACATTACAAGAAAAATGCATATTTACGACAAGTATTTGCGATGGTCGATGCGGCCCACGCTAATACATGTGATTTTGCGTTCTGGTGATTTGCGCTAACATAATTGTGACACCTTAATTAGTAACGTTGCATCTCATGTCGCAAATAGGTTTGAAAGTGTTAACTTTGCGACGTTACATGATTGCCGTCGTATATCTCCTAATTGAAGTTAGATTTAGGATGGAAGACAAAGTGCGTGGAAACTCAAAATTTTGAGGAGGCGCTTCAGTTTCCCGCACAAAATCAAAACCCGATATCTTCTGATTACTCATAGCCCCAAATCAATACCCTTATGCTTCTGATTACTCTTAGCCCCAAATCAATACCCAAAAAGGCCAGAGATCACTACAACAATCGGTTGGTTTCTCTCTCTTCGTCATTCTCTATCTCTCCCTCTTTCAGTCTCTTTATTGGGCTTCTCTAATTTATTTGTGTTTAGAATTTCAGAACTTCTTGCTGTAAAATTTCTAGGTTTTCAGCCAATTCAAAGAGACGATTCTAATCTTATCAACGATTTCTAGATTTTGGGAACCCTTCCTCCTCTAATCAAGGTATGTATCTAGTGCGGGTTTTTTTCATTAGTTTTTTGCTTTTCCCAATCATGGTTTATGGAATTTCTTGGTTTTGCTCATTTTCCTTTTTGGTTTATGAATTTTCTATTTCCTTTGTGTTTTTCTTTGGGATTGTATTACTCCTTGCCTTTAGTTTCTATAGTGCCCCTTTAGCTCTCTGTCGTTTAGTTTTAATTAAATCTCCTCTTTACAAAAAATAAAATAAAATAGTTATTTGAGTATTTGGTGTTCATATGACTAATTGTTATTTTATTTAGTCCTATTTGATCATATTTTGTTTTTGTATTGTATTTTGGTTTCCCTTGTTCTTTTACACGAAAATTCCATGAAACCAGTGGCGGACGCAAGATTATGACCTCATCGGGTCATAGTGTAAAAGTCTTGAAATTTTTTTAAAAAGAAAATAATATTAAAAAACAGAAAGATAGTACTTCTATTCATAATTTTTGGCAAAACTAACAATACAAACTATATTTTATAAAATAGAATATTATATATATCTACGAAAAAAGGACTAAAAGCATAAACACATATAAGTGGAAGAAGAGAACTTCGCTAGATCATCCACGACCAAAAAAAAAAAAACTAGGTTAACATAAAACACATAAAAAGAATATCTAAAGAAATATTTCCCAATACATACATACTTCATGTAAACGGAAGGGTAGAATGAAATAGAATCACATTTAAGTGGAAAATTATTGTGCTCTTGACACTAAACATTTTATCTAGGGAAATAGAATCACATTTAAGTTTTTCATGGCCCAAGAAACTTTTTAGTTTACCATCCCATCAAAAACTAGTGTTACTAATTCACGTGTTATAACATAGGTAAAAATTGAGTTATGTTTTAGAATTCTTATGGGGCTGGTGTAACTACATCTCAAGTATTTGGCCAAAATTCAAATTCTGACAATAATGAGAATAGGATAAGAGAGGAGCTAGAGAAACAATATTAGTAAAAAATAGATGATCTTCAATCCAAGTTGGATGAAGTTAGCTCACAACTTAGTCAAGTGATGACTCATGTTGGTTTCCAAACCACCACAGAAGAAAACGGAAGCAGCCAAGTACATTATATTTAATGTATTTCTCTTATTAAAGAATAAATAATGATAAAAATTAAGTGATCTTAGTTTTTATGGAACTTCGAAATATTTTATATTTGATGTCATCAATAGATTCCGGATGCCTCAAGTATGCACTGAAGAAGCCTTAGGCCCTGTTTGGGATTGCTTTTTTTGGCCAAAAACCTTCTTCACTTTAAAGTTAAGCAATTTAAGGTGTTTGGTAAAAATAAAATATCCCAATTATTTTAAAAGCAGTGTCCTTTTGACAGCAGCTTTTAAAAGCATACTCTGGGTTGCTTTTCAAAGCTGCTTTCAAAAGAAGCAGAGATGAACCTTTAATGAATTTTTTTAATTCCCAAAAAACCATCATTCATTTTAAAAAATGGCACCACCTCCACTTCCACATCCAACTCCACCACTTGCACCACCACATTCACTACCTCCACAACCACTGCCACCGCCACCACCACCACCACATCCTCCTCCTCCTCATCCTCTGCCATCACCACCACAACCACTACCTCCTCCACCTCCACCACCACCTCCACAACCAACACCACCACCACCACCATGCTGCCACTACTACTACCACCACCACCTCCACAACCGCCATCCCCACCACCACCACTACTATAACCACCAACTCCACCTTCATCACCACCACAACCTCCACTCCATCACTACCACTACCACCTCACGATTAGTACATAACACTTTTAACATCATGTTTATTTTAGTCA